AAATTACTAAGAGTTGTAAACCCACTACTAGTATTAATTGTGAACCTAAAAGGTCACACCAAATTTTGAATGAAGGTAAAATTCAAATAGTAATTCTAAAGAGTTAGAATTAATTGACAAATCTCATTTTATTAGATGTCAATTAAAGGAATATATTAAATTAATCAATGAGATTGATTAATTGAATTTTGGATATTAATTTAGTAATTAATGGAATTACTAATTAATAGTTGGAATTTAAAATTGGATTTTAAATTTCAAATCCAAATAATAATATGATTATTAAATAAGGAAATTGGAAGAAAAGATTAAAATAATAAAGTCTTGAAAAATGTTTTCAAGAATTATTATTTTATTGTTTTATCTTCAATATGATTAAAGATTCAAATAATTGAGAGACAAAATAATGGTGGTTGATGGTGGTTATAAACCACTCCACATTATTAATTAAAAGTCAATATTTGGTATGATAATGTAAATAAAATCTGATTTTATTTAAAAATAAATAATTATCAAATATTGATTATTTTATGCTAAAATGTTTAGTATAAATAGGTGCAAAATGTTTACACATAAATTGCTAAGTTTTTCTAAGTTCTTCCAAAGAGAAAAATCATCCAAATAGTTGAGTGATAAACCAACAAAGAGTTCTTGTAGAATTTCCTTATAATTATATATATTCTATACTTATTGAAAAACCGAGTAGTTTCTACTAGCGAAGAAACTATAGTCGGAACCGGAGTTCAAAAGGTGGATACTCTTAGAGGGAAGACATTTGAATTCCTAAAGCGAGTAACATCAAGAAGTGGACGTTACCAAACCGGGAATTGATTTCCTCATCCATCGTCGTTTTTTGAAGGAGTTCAAGAACAAAGGTAATTTTATAAATTACATATCAAATCAAAATTAGTAAAAGTTACTAGATTTTAAATGATGCTTATTTGTTATCTCGTTATACTTATGTACGGAATAAGTATTTATGAGATAAATACTTATAAAATTTTAAATTCCGCTGCAAACTCTGGTCCGTACAGTATATCGAACCCAACCCATAACCGGGCCTGCCTGCAACGGCGCGAGGGCCGCCGTCGGTGCTGCTTCACGAGCTTCGTGCGCTCTGCTCGTGACTTCTCCCCCACCTGGAATCGCCGCACTCTGAGGCATCGGTGTTGGGGTCATCGGTGTTTGTGACGGCCCAGAGAAACCAGATGGAGGTCCCGCTCCCATTGGTCTTGTCGTCGTCCACGCTTCATCAAACGACGACTGTAAATTCACTCGAGGAACTCCGTCCGCCATAGCTGAGCTCAGAACACAACTTTTCGAACGAAGGACCCCACAGACGGCGCCAATAATACAAGTCTCGCACTCCGACCGGCTGGAAACCGCCTCAAGCTCGTTCTCCTCGCCGGTTGAACGCGGAACATGCACGAAACTCCCACACCGGAGGTGTTTTCCGGTGAAGAGCCTCCAACGCTCAAGTCAGATCTTGAGAGATAATATATATGTGTGTAAATATGTAAGAGTATGAGAGATTGTATTAAAAAGTGAGGATTCTCGTCCCTATTTATAGGGACGAGCTACATGTTTTACACGCACGGGTAGGGCGAGTTTGGCCAACCGTCCTCTGCTCGTTCGTACAACCGCGCGCCTCCACTATCCCTGATGTCAGAGGACGCGTCGAACCTGTCAGAGAATGTCAAAGTTTGTTACTGCCCTGGGTCACTCATGGAATGCCGCGTGTCCTCCCTTCACGTGCTGGAGATTCCCTTGTGCATTCTGTTGCTCGACCAAGTATGTACGACCACATCCTATCCGACCATCTTTCCTCGACCAACTCCTCGAGTAGCCAGTGCCTGTCGATCACTTCTGAACCAGCTCGTCCTTGCTGTCTACTCTCTGTCCTTCGTTGCAGGTTCCTGGCCCAGTTCGACCATACCATTTTACCCGTCCTATTTAGCTAACCCGACGAACCAGTCTATTTTCTCCGGTTAGCCCAACAAACCGGTCTAGTATATAATATCCCATATCACCAGCAGTTTGTTGTGCGTGGCGAGCTGAAAATGAAAGTCGGTTGATGATGATGGCGATATGGTGATGTGAAGAAGACTGATGGGGTGCTGCTGGTTTAGGTTTGCGAGAGGGATATAGCACGATATGATGGAATGATCGAGAGAAAGAGAATCTTGATTGCTCTTCTATGTGCTAACGAACAATGAGAGTTGTGAGATAGGATTTTAGGGCCTGCGTGGTTTTTCGATCAAGAGAGGGAGAATCTCATATATATATATATATATATATATATAATATTAGGGTTCGACAACTTGCCCATCAAGAGAAGGAAATAGAAGACCGGGCTCGTGGGTCTCGGTTTGGTTGGACTACTTAACGAAAATATTCGAGGCTCGGTTCAACGCAACGCTAATTAGTAAAACCGGATTTTATATATATATAATACACACAATAATATTTATTTAATACTAATAAACAATTAATAACAATTAATAATAATAATAATAATAATAATAATAATAATAATAATAATAATAATAATAATAATAATAATAATAATAATAATGCCAACATAATAATATCCGAAAATAAATCCCCTCATCGAACGGGTTCAATCCGAACTACGCGATTAAACCGAAATCGACGAACGACGAAGATTTTTCAATAAAACGATCGTGTACTCCAACCTTTTATTTAAGTCGACATCCCGACTAATAAAATAAATATAACCTTATAAATTATATTCGATAAATAGAATATTTTGAGAAATTCTATAAATCGAACGGGGCGCTACATGGTTGGACGTTGGAGTATCAAGTACTGAAGGCCATTTTGTTTTGTTTTGTTTTGTTTTGTTTTGTTTTTTTTTTTTTTTGGTTAATGAATAATGGGTGATGACTGATGAGTTTTTTCTACTGGGACCTTTTGGGCTTTTTTATTCGCATGATTTTTTTTTTAAAACAAAAACAACCGAGGCTAAGATTGATTAACTATTAAGTTATTAACTATTAATATTATTTTTTTCACTTCCTTATTGTAGTTCGGTAAAATCGAGCATTTATGATTTCGAAACCGATACTCGTTTACCATTTTAAATGAGTCAGTACCGTTTAATTTTTTTCTTGTTGATTCAATTCTGTTGGCTCCGATGGTCAGTCCAAAAATGTCAATCGTTTATTAGATTGAGTTTTATAAAATAAATATTCACTCACACCATAGTTTTTTTACATGACTGGCCCGGCGGGTCGACCTTGGACCCGGTTGACCCGGAGTCAGAAACGGTTCTGGTGGGCTATTTGGACCGGACAACAAAAGACCTAGTCAAAACCGGTCAAAAACCAATCAACTCGGCCTTGATCCGGCCGACTCAGTGCATTGACCCGACAGGGTCAACTGGGTTGACCCGACCATATATATATTTTTTATTTTTTTTTTAAATAAAACTATGTATATATGTTTATATGGTAAATATTATAATGAGATTAATATTATTAACATTTTAATGTACATATTTTATACACAAAACATTTAATTTTATTATATATATATATATATATGACAAAGATACTTTATATATAATTATAAAAAATTTAAAATTAATTATCCAATTCAGCAATTGACCCGACGGTTGAATCGGTGACCCGATGAACCGGACACCGGCCCGAGTTTAAAAACTGTGGCTCACACACAAAAGTAAAATG